TAGGCAAGGAATCCATCACTTCATTTCTGCACGAAATCTAACGCAGGGACTTCAACAATACTGAATAAAGAAGGAAATATATCTTTTATTGTGTCCTTACTTGCAGAGAAAGTATATGAAGAACAATTTTGGGAACCAAGCAGAGGATATACAAGATGCAGAAAATTATCGGGAACCGTCTTTCAAAACTTTGGCTCAATATAAACATAAAGATGCAATAACACTTGTTACTGTTAAGAAGCAAAACAAGAACAAATATCCAGGAACAAATCATATATCATCATCATCACCGATCGTAGAATATAGAATAATAGGGTTAGAAGGGATCTTAAAGGCATCTCGGCTAATTCTGTATTATGAGTTCTTAAAACAAGCCAATTTCAATGCACAAATACAAAGGTCTTATTTAACGCGTAATATCTACAAAATCATCAAGTTCAGAATCAACAACTTAATCGCATTTATCTCCAGAAAAAAAAGGTCAACTGAATTAAATAAGATTTATTCCCAGACAGTAACCTGGGATTTAACTCTTAATCCATCTCGAGCCACTTCCAATTTCTATGCAAATCCCTTTCAGTTTTTACATTCGCTCCCGCATGTTTTCAAAAATTAACTTCTCCCTCCTTCATAATAATATCCGTAGCCAAGCCAATAACTTTACGATAAGCTTTTTCCAAATAAGTTTTCAACACACAACATTCATCATCAGGTCACTCAAACTCTTCCCTCAAGGCTACCTACCCGTCTACAATTCTCAGAAATCTACTTCCTCAACCTCTGGCAATTGCAAAGACGTTGGAGTCCAAATATCCACAAATACAATCTCAAAAGAACCTCAACTCACCAACGGTGAAATCCACCGGTTTCTTAACGCTGTGGAAAGTTTCAAATTTGACGGACATTGTGTTGTTCGAGGCGGTATTTTCAATCCGTGGCCATGTCTTCTTGTTTTCAGTTTTGCAAATTGCCTTCTACATGTAGGATCCTGTCTGGTTTTCTCCCTTCTCAACAATGCATGTATTACGGCCGGGTGCGTCGGGTGAGAAAGCCCAACATCCAATCAAGATCGGCGCCTTTCAAACTGACAGCGCTGGCGGTGTCATTATTTTGTATTGTGCATCAACTTAAGGACTCCTGCAGGGCACGCGGCACAAGGGAAGGTACCTTAGCAAAGAGCACAGCTATCGGCCAGGCGTAGGGTTGATTACACTGCAATTGAGCCCTTCGCTATTGGAGCGAAACGCGGTCAAACCTGTTGAAGTACAGCGGGTACCTTGGTACTCGCCGTTAATTGGTTCTGGGAGGTAGGACGAGTACCAAAAATGGGGGGTAACAAACAATTTTCCCCCATAAGGAATCCGATTGATTCCTTGTTTGTTCTTTCACACCTGCAGACAGAATCTTGCCAGACTGAACACTTGATTATCTGCATCTACAATATACTGTGTGAACTATTAGGAGGAACCGTCTTGATTCTCTCTCACACACGATATTTTGAGTTTTCTCTTACTCCTCTGGATTGCTCCATCCTGGGGACCCACCTCCTTTCTACATTCCATCACATCATCCGTGGACTTCAACTCCCAGAATTTCATCAGCCACTGGGTGCAGCAGGAGTGAAATCCACTTAACTTTGTTACCAATTCGGTAGCAATGCAAGTGTGCGGCGCTAGCTTCTCTCACATTCGCCACCTCCGCGCATGCACAGGACCTTCCGCGCGTGCACAAAACATCAAAACAGAAGAGAGCTGGAAGGGACCTTAGAGGCCTTCTAGTCTAACCCCCTGCTCAAGCAGAGGCCATATAGCAATGATGGCTAACCATTTTGTCCTCATGGGGCAAAAGCGGGTGGTTTCCAGATTCTTCTTGAAAACCTCCAGTGTTGGGAGCACCCACAACTTCCGGAGGCAAGTCGTTCCACTGATTAATTGTTCTCGCTCTTAGGAAGTTTCTCCTTAGGTTGGTTCCCTTCTTGGTTAATTTCCATCCATTGTTTCTTATCCCGCCTTCAAATACTTTAGAAAATGGGTTGACCCCCCCCCTTCTTCTTTGGGGCAGCAGCCCCTCAAATACTGGAATATTGCTACCATGCCACCCCGTTTTTTCTTTTCTCTAGGCTGGACTAATGTAATGAATCACAATGCAGCAAACAACGACAAGTTCTAGCTTGAGTATCAAACAAATAATAACTACGGGGACAAAATGTTTGTGTCAAAATGTGTTGAGCACCAAATTCAATGAGTTTCAAAGCAGTTTGAATGTCAAGGTAGCATTGTGCTTTAATAGAAGACCATCAAGAAATCCCAGAGCTGTTCAAAAACATTCCAGAAAATACAATTTCTACATTGCAAAATAAGTAAAATCAGTAAGTAAAATCTCTTGCTGGCTACAACACTCTTGGCGACTTCATGGATACTGGTAGTCCTCGACTTACAACAGTTCATTTAGTGACTGTTCAAAGTTACAACATCACTGCAAAAAGTGTCTCATGGCCATTTCTCACACGACCATTGTAGCGTGCCTACGGCCACATGGTCAAAATCCAGACGCTCGGCAACGGACCTGTATTTATGACGGTATTCTGAAGGTCATTTTCCAACCAGCTAAATCAATGGGTGAACCAGACTCGCTGGATGTTACTTAACAATGACAAGGATTCGCTGAACGATTCGTAGCAAGGAAGGTTGTGAAATGAGGCAAAGCTCACTTACCAAATGTCTCACTTAGCAACATGAATTTTTGGGTGGTTGTAAATTGAGGATTACCTGCATGCAGTATTTTTCTTGAGAACGATGTAGAAATGGTACTTTGGGGGATGTTTCTATCAAGTGGTCCCTTGGTGATTGCTTTGAAATTTCATCAAATTTAGTACTCGGCGCATTTTGAAGCAAACATTTTGCCCAAGTACTCATCATTTGTTCGATACTCGACACACAAGCTTAGAGGTTTTCGCTGTCAATTGCCTTGTGACTCATTATATTATTCTTTTATGAGAAAAGAATTTGTTTGGTACCAGGGGTGGGTTCCTGCCAGTTCTAACCTCTTCTATAGAAGAGGTTCCACAAGTCTACAGTGCCGTTTAGAACCGGTTCCAGCTCCCTCCCCCCGCCCATCCGCACATCATCAAGATGAAGAGCGAGAGGAGGAATTCTGGGAGTTGAAGTCCACAAGTCTTAAAGCTGTCAAGTTTGAACATCCCTGGGTTTTTTTTTTTCTAAAGA